TTTTTTACAAGGTGTCCGGGCTTGCGTCCGACTAGATCCTTGTCCCTGAACCTCCGGCCCCTCAGCAGCTCAGGGAGGTAAATCGCAGGATGTGCCCTTGTTGGCTCCCAGGTTCCCACAACTCATTTGGACTCCTTCCGCAAAGAGAGCTCTCCTCGCTGGGCGTTTGTTCAACCAAATGGCTTCCCCTCCATTTTAGCACCCAGTGTTAACTCCAGGAATCGAACTCTCCACCCTTGCTTCCAGCGTCCCAGCGTGTTTGCTTTTTCTATCTTACGGATACTTGTGCTAGTGATCTGTTCTTTAAACAATGACAAAAATTGTCCTTACTTTCATGTTGTGACCTATTCAGGATGACAGTGAGCAACCTACAAAGGAGTCCCAACCCAGCAGAGTTTGGACAATTGATTAAGTGGCTTTAATTATGGAAGCGAATCCAGCTATAATTCTATTTTTATTGTTCGGTCGTTTAGGTATCACCAAGGCAATATTGGGGCATGCAAAGGCACTCAATTCAACTCTCCTTGCATTACTCATCTTCTCTATAATATCTTAAACTTTTAGAAGACGTAATTTAGCATGTGCTTATAGTACTAAGAATTTAAATCTTGGAATGCCAGTTATCCACCAAACATGGGACAGTTGAAGCGGACCTTATTTTCATGAGATATGCTATATGTCCAGGGCCACATAGACCCTGGACATCGGCACCCCGCTATAGGTGGGGATCTTGTTTTGGTGCCCCTGTCCGTCCAGATCCATGTGGCCTTGGACAACAAGTCTTTTCCCATTTTCTTCGAGGTTGAGGGGCTCACATGGGTGAGGAACTGACAGAGGTAGGTAAGACTTTTTTTTAGGACGGCCCCACACAGTCTTGTTCTATACCTAAGCACATGATGTCCTTGAGCCTATGAGTTGGCTGTCACCTTACCATCAAGATTATTGCCTACACTGTTTAGAAATGATTATAAGTTTCTAACCAATTCGACATTAGATATTAAATACTTTGCACGAATTAATCTATATATATTTTCCTATTCATTATCTTCCCTTGGTGGTGAAATTTGCATTTAGGACAGATTCAAGTTGGGATTATCTACTTAAATCTCCCCCATCCCTAAAATCCCATTTCACCAAACTATTGTTGTGACAAGTCCCAATCCAAGTGAAACAAGAGAGAATTGATGGGACAAGAATTAAATGCTACATGTTAGGTTGTATAAATCTCAAGTTGTACCTCTCTCTCTCTCTCTCTACACACGCGCGCACATATTATTGAACATGATATGGATAGGGTTTGAATATTGTTGCAGAATTGAACTTGAAGACAGATATATATATATATATATATATATATTGAGTTTGAGTTGATTTTTAAATGTGAAGACAGATATATATATATATAAGCTTAGCCGAAATATAATTTTCTTCTTTTTTCTCTCTCTTTTATGGGATTTCCTTTTTTGGATGGGAAGATCATACGTGTGGAAATATAATCATAAACCGTGCGAATTATTCAACATCAACGGTGGAGCCATTTTTGGACCGTGACAGTAGGAAAAAGGTGAAAAGGTACGTAAAATACACATGAAATTATACAAGTGGATGCCTATCCTCTCAAAATTATCAAAACCAGACTGATGGCCGCAGTTAAGGATCTTGATTCATAGGTACAAGTTGTTTCAAATGTTATTTTCAGAAACACAGTATTGGCAGATATTTTGAAGCCTAAATATGTACAAGTAAGTGTATCAAACTAAAAAAAAGAAAAAAAAATATAGAAGGGATTTTAAGTCTCGAATATATGAAAAACTGTGCACGTGTTAGGACTTTGATAAAAATAAATTAGACCCATGTACGAAGCAACATGTTGAATCTCATTCCTAACCCTATGATATGGTGCCTAATTCGTAAACTAGCCACAAAGCTGGGGAGAGAGGGAAATTAAAAATAAAAAAAGAAAGTGGAAGGTGAAGAAATGAAAAGATACAACCAACTATAACCACAGCCACACTCATTTCATTGGCTCTACTTCTTGTCTTCAATATACATTTTTATTATCCTATCTTGCACCCAACTCCTAACCCTTCTAGAAGCCCTAACAATCTAATTAATATTTTGCATGTTGGTGCACCAATAGAATAAAAGTATTTATGCTCTATAGTCTAAACTAAAACCTGCCAAATGCCAACCACAAATTAACTTAATTTTGAAAACATAGGATATTTCATATTTCCTTATCAAAACAATATTCCCACTTAGTCGATTCTAAAGTACTTTTAAAACTCACTTTTCCTTTACAATTTTATGCATGTTATTTTTCACAATTTTCTTGTCGCACTTTAACTTAAGAAATTTAAACAAAATTAATTATTTTGATTCTTACATTTTCGTGTATACGAGAAATTAAAGCAAGAAGGATTATGGGCGATTCAGGTATGCATCGTACATCAGGTTGGGAAGATTTTGGATTCTATTGAAGTGGGAAGGTAGAGATGGCACCTTGTCTTTTATTGCTCTACTTTAATTTAATACCTTACTTTGCACCTAACTAAAGTTTACCACCTTACTTATTCACTTTTACTTAATTTTTCTTGTATGATATTTGTATATATTAATGATGATGTTATAATCATCAATAGATGCCACCAGCCACACTCTCTCTCATACCCGCCTCACCAACTCACATCTAGAAGAAACTCTCCTTCTCTTTCTCTCTCTATATGTATATGTATGTATATATTAGAGTCAAATTAAAGGTTATATAACCCCACATCAAGTCCTTTGAGGACCGGCCCTGATGCTCAAGAATCGCCAAGGCTAGAATTTCAGAAAGAAAAGAATCAAGTAAAAGGGCAAAAGAAATATTGGCAAAAAAAATTTGTTTTTAGCTACTGAACGGTTTTACTTATTTTGGTTTTGGCTCAATGGGAAGGTCTCCTTGCTGTGAAAAAGCTCATACAAATAAAGGAGCATGGACTAAAGAAGAAGACGATCGTCTCATCGCATACATAAGGGCTCACGGTGAAGGCTGCTGGCGGTCGCTTCCTAAGGCAGCCGGTCTCCTCCGCTGCGGCAAAAGCTGCCGTCTTCGGTGGATCAATTACTTAAGGCCTGACCTCAAACGTGGCAACTTCACAGAAGAGGAAGATGAACTTATTATTAAACTCCACGGCCTTCTTGGTAACAAGTAAGTCTATCAATAATTGGATCGACCTAATATTGTTCTTTTTTATTAAATTGTCATTGCTGATGTGATTTATTGTCATTTTTTATTAGATGGTCTCTTATAGCTGGAAGATTACCAGGAAGAACTGATAATGAGATAAAGAATTATTGGAATACTCATATAAGAAGGAAGCTTTTGAGCCGAGGTATTGATCCTACAACTCATAGGCCAATCAATGAGCCTGCATCAGCTGGAGAAGTCACAACCATTTCATTTGCTGGTTGTACGACAAAAGAAGAGTCGGATAAGTTTATCACTGCAGGGATTAATTTGAACATCAAAGAAGAAAGCAGTCCAGTTTTCGAAAGGTGCCCCGATTTGAATCTTGAACTCAGAATAAGCCCTCCTTATCAACAACAAGCACAAGAGCCATTGAAAACTGGAGGAAGTACTGCCTCTCTGTGCTTCGCGTGCAGTTTGGGTGTACAAAACAGCAAAGATTGCAGTTGTAATATTGGTGGTGGCAGTAGCAGTAATTCTGGATATGATTTTGTGGGGTTAAAAACTGGGATTTTGGACTACAGAAGCCTGGAAATGAAATAAAATCTGATCTGGGTTAAGTTTTTATTATATGTATTAAAATAGAAGAAATTAATATTTGAAGAGAAATGTAAAAGACATTGGTATTTAGTTAATGATCTTTCTGAATTTCTCTTCGCTTGTACAAGTAATTAACATCATATTTATTTTTAATGCATAGCACTTACTAAACATTTTCTGTGTCTTGAAAATCAGACTATTAATTTGTTTGTTCGTTTTGAAGTTTTTGTTTGTTTATATACTTTACTCCATCTTTATCTTTGGTGTGTGTGTGCATATATATAAGTAATGTGAAATGGAGAGTTTCGAGAGCTCTGATCAACTGGATCATCTTTCTGTTGATTGCTTTTTCTTTTTACTAAATTTAGATTCCTTTATTATTGTCGTTTTCAGAGAAAAAGGATATGAATGAGGAGGCAATGGATAAGTTGTGAGAGGATGAGAAGAAGAGGAGGAGAAGAATTTGGTAACCTGTCCCTTCTAAAACGATAAATATGTAATAAAAAAGTAATTAATTATATAAAATAACTTATATAAAATGTGAAAAAGTAACAACTGTTGATATTCAGTACCACACCTCTACCAACTTAATTACAATATATACTTTTAGCCGTGATCTACCAACCAACCCATATTCGAAAACTCATGACTAGGTGTGCTTTGAATGTCTGAAAGTTGATGTTCAGTTTAATTAAAAAAATTGATAAAATTTAAGTTAAATTTAATAATTAATTTTAATCACATATTTCATGATAACTACAATTTTCTTTTATAATTACTAGCTGCGCATATTTATTTTCACTTTACCCCCAACATACTTATATGGCTCTGTCCTTGCTCTTTGGGAAAGGAAGCTTCAAAAGTTGAGCTCATATGGTCAATGTAATTGATAGTCGACGAGATCTTTGATTGGAATTTAACGTGCATACGAGAATATATACTTGACTTTTCATATGTAGACACTTCATTTTACTTCAATCATATATTTGACTTGATAAGTATGTAGCATAGCAATTTCTTTATAACTTTAATCTAATTTCCCCTTTGTTTTTCCTTATAATGTTTTCAAAATTATGAACTAAAGTATTTTTCAAAATTATTTTATTATTTTAAATAATTGACTGTGAACTAAGTTTGAATTTTTAATATTGGTATGCGCATTTTTGTGAACGTTATTAATAGTTTGGCTTTGTTTGGCATTTCTGTCTTCAAATTGAAGGGTTTTTGCCGTCCAACCACATAAGGTTCCAAATAATAATGAAAAAAAAAATTAAGAGCTTGTATATTCTTCTTCTTTTGAATCTTCAACCCTAGTCATGATATTCTAATTTAAGTACATGCTTGATTTAAAAATTAAAATCAACAATTAATTTTAATAAGAAGTTTCATGGGATTCAAAAATTTTATCGACGTTTCACTCGCTCATTTAATCATTCTTTGGATCAAAATATAATACAAATCAAATCTTTAGCAAAACCAAACAGAGACTAAATATTTTGTTTCGTTTTACGCCGTTATACTGTGTACATGTTTATTTGGCTCATCAACCATAGAAATGAAAGGTTAATCCTTACGAATCTTTCTAAAAGCTCTTAAAATAAAAAAAAGGCAGAGCCTAATGAATACGGGACGACGCGATTGCAGCAGAAGGCTATTTTTCAGGCTAAGATAACGAAGTTAGACTGAGATTCACGACTGACTTGGAATTCCTTGTCCTTAACTAGCTTAGCTGCATAGGGCCAATAGAGGTAGTTTCAATTCTACCTATCGGAAAGCTGGTTGAAAAAGTTGACGAGGTTCAGTAGGTCCCACGATGAATGAACAGAGCGGAAAGGCTCGGGGATGTCTAGGATCCAGGCCCCCCCTCTTCACCAGCAAATTTGTGGCAACCAAACTAAAGTGATATGCTTATTGGACTCTATGTATTAACAAGTGGGACCCGATTTGAACTCATGAGATCGAGAGAGATGGGGAAGGAATGACAAGGAGGAGAGTAGTAGTAATAAGAAGATGCGCGAGTTGTAACCATAGTCTAGAATAAGATTGTACAAAACAATGAAAAAGATTCTAACTTAAATTTCATTATTAATACTATCTACTCTATATTATCGATAATAATTAAGATATTTCAGTCGTTAGAGAGAGTAATTTGAAT